CCCATTCCTCTGTTTTTGTTTTTGTTGCAACTGATTTTGGTGTCTTCATCATAAAGGCTTTGACAGGGCCTATATCCAGATAATATTTCCTAGGTTATCTTTTAAGGGATTTATAGTTTTGGATTTTAAATTTAAGTACTAAATCCATCTTGAGTTGATTTTTGTACATGACATGAAAAAGGGGTCCAGTTTCAGTCTTCAGCATGTAGCTACACAGTTATCCCAGCACCATTTATTGAATAGGGAGTTGGTTCCTCATTACTGTGTTTTTCATAGACTTTGTTGAAGATCAGATGGTTGTAGGTGGTGGCTTTATTTATGGGCTCTTTATTCTGTTCCATTGGTCCGTGTCTGTTTTCATACCAGTGCCATTGCTGTTTTGGTTACTGTAGCTTGCATTATAAAGTCAGGTAATGTGATGGCTTAAGTTTGTTCTTTTGCTTAGGATAGCCTTGGCTATTCAGGCTTCTTTTTTTTTTTTTTTTTTTTTTTTTTTTTTTTTGCTTTCATGTGAATTTTAAAATAGTTTGTTCTAATTCTATGAAGAATGTCATTGGTAATTTGATAGGAATAGCATGAATCTATAAATCTCTTTGGACAATATGGCCATTTAAACAATACTGATTATTCATATCTATGAGCATGGAATGTTTTCTTCATCTGTGTCATCTCTGACTTCTTTGAGCAGTGTTTTATAATTCTCATTGTAGAGATCTTTCACCTTCCTGGGTAGTTGTATTCCTAGATATTTTACTCTTTGTGGCTACTGTGAATGAGATTGCCTTACTTGCTTGGATGTTGTTGGTTTACAGAAATGTTGCTAGGTTTTGTACATTGATATTGTACCCTGAAACTTTGCTGAAGTTTTTTATCACTTCCAGGAGCTCTGGGGCAGAGTCTATAGGATTTTCTAGGTAGAGAAACATACCATCTGCAAAGAGAAATAGTTTGACTTTCTGTCTTCCTACCTTGGTGACTTTTATTTCTATTTCTTGCCTAATTACTCTAGCTAGGACTTCCAGCGCTATGTTGAATAAGAGTGGTGAGAGGCGCCTCCTTTTCTTGTTGATGTTCTCAAGGGAGATGCTTCCAGCTTTTGTCCATTCAGGATGGTGTTAACTGTGTGTTTGTCATAGATGGTTCTTGTTATTTTGAAGTACGCTTCTTCAATGTCTAGTTTGTTAACAATTTTTAATATGAATGAATGCTGAATTTTATTGAAAACATTTTCTGCCTCTATTGAGATGATGATGTGGATTTTGTTTTCAATTCAGTTTATGTGGTGAATCATATTTATTGTCTTATGTATGTTAAACCAACCTTACATACCAGAGATAAAGCCTACTTGATCATGGTGAATTAGCTTTTTGATGTGCTGCTGGATTTGGCTTGCTAGTATTTTGCTGAAGATTTCTGCAACTATGTTCACTGAGGATATTGGCCTGAAGTTTTCTTTTTTCTTGTGTATCTGCCACGTTTTGGTATCAGGATAATGCTGGCCACATAGAATGAGTTAGGGAAGAGTTCCGCCTCCTCAGTTACTTGGATTAGGTTTAATAGGAATGATACCAGCTCTTTATACATCTGGCAGAATTCAGCTGTGAGTCCATCTGGTCCTGGGCTTATTCTGGTTCATAGGTTTTCCATTACTGATCCAATTTCAGAAGTCGTTATTGGTCTATTTAAGGATTCAATTTATTCCTGGTTCAATCTTGGGAGGTTATATGTTTATAGAAGTTTATCCATTTCTTCTAGGTTTTCCAGTTTGTGAGCGTAGAGGGGTTCATAGCAGCATTTGAGGGATTTTTTGTATTTCTGTGGGCCGGATGGTAATGTCCTCATTATAACTTCTTATTGTGTTTATTTGGATCTTCTCTCTTTTCTTCCTTATTAGTGTTACTAACAATCTATTGATCATATTTATTCTTTCAGAAAACAAACTCCTGGATTCATTGATTTTTTTTGTATGATTTTCTCCATCTTAATTTCCAGCAGTCCAGCTCTGATTTTTGCTATTTCTTTTATTCTGCTAGCTTTAGATTTGGTTTAGTCTTCCTTTTCTAATTTCTCTAGGTATGATACTATGTTGTTAATTTAATTTGAGATAGTTTTAACTTTTTGATTTAGGTATTTAGCATACACACTTCCTCTTAACACCGTTTTAGCTGTGCCCCAGAGATTCTGGTATGTTTTGTTTTCATTAGTTTCAAAGAATTTCTTGATTTTTGCCTTAAATTTATTGTTTACCCAAAAGTCATTCTGGAGAAGGTTGTTTAATTTCCATGCAATTGTTTGATTTTGAGTAAGTTTCTTAGTATTGATTCTTATTTTTTATTGTGCTATAGTCTGACAGTGTGGTTGGTTTTCTGTGTGTGTGTGTGTGTTTTAATTTGCCGGGGATTGTTTTATAGCTGATTTTGTTGTTGATTTTAGAGCATATGCAATGTGCAGATGAGATGAATGTATATTCTTTTGTTGTTGGGTGGAGAATTCTGTAAATGCCTGTGAGGTCTATTTGGTCAAGTGTTAAGGTCTATTTGTTAGTGTTTTGCCTTGATGATCTATCTAATAATACTGTCTGTGGAGTATTGAAGTCTTCCACTATTATTGGGTGGTTATCGAAGTCTCTATAGATCTCTAAAACCTTGCTTTAGGAATCTGAGTGCTCCTGTGCTGGGTCCATATATATTCAAGATAATTAGGACTTCCTGTTGAATTGAACTCTTTATCATTATGTAATGCCCTTCTTTTTCTTTTTTGATCATTGTTGGTTTAAAGTCTGTTTTATTTGAAATTAGAAGAGCAATCCTTCCTTTTTTTCTGTTTTCCATTTTCTTGATAGAGGGAAATAAGGCATTGTGGCTTTTTGAGTTGTCCAAGTTCTCATGCTGGTTCTTTCTCATCTGTGTGGGCTGATGCTCTTTAATCTTTGAAGTTACTGTCCTTTGGGTGGGTTTCTTTATTTGTATTTCTTTGATGCCCTTGGGAGTTTGATTGTGGTATAAGGTGGATTCAGTCAACTGGCCTCATTTCCGGAAGAATTTAGGGGGCCATGGCTCAGCTCAGGACTACTGGACTGTATACTCTAACCCAAGAGGGCGGGTGGCAGGCCCTGGCTTCGTTCTCTGGCCCTCTGAGAAACCTTCTGAGCCGAGGTGGTACGGTGTTCCTGGTCTGCTGACCACAACACTCTGATGGGTGGTGCCAGCTAAAGTGCTTCATCTGGGCAGTGGCAGCACGACTCATGCTCATTTGCACACGAGTTCGTGGCTATGGAAGTGCAGCAGGATGCACAGGTGTTGACTGGGACAGGGACCCAGGAGTGGGGCTGTGTCGTTACTGTGCACACTTGTGCCAGTGGCTAGAGTTGCAGGCAAGCAGCCGGGGCAAAGTTGCTGGAGTTCATGTTTGCACTTGTGCTGGCAGGGACAGCTGCGGGGACTGGACAGTGGCGGGCATGACGCTAGTGGCCTCCATGCACATGTTCACAGTGGTGGCAGTGGCAGCACAAGATGGAGGTGAGGCCACCAGCAAGCAGCGTCCATTCGCACATTCACAGCGGCAGCAGTGTGAGTGTGGGGAGTGGGGTGGCGTTGCTTGCATCTGTGTGAGTGTTGGTGCCAGCAGTGGCAGTGCAGCCAGGTGCCTGCTCATCAGGGATGCAGGGGGAGCCGGGTGTGCTCACCCAGGCACAGTACACATGCACACACACACACACCAGTGGGGGAGAAGTGATCTCTGCCTGTGTGCATTCCGGCAAAGCAGTGGGGGTATGACAGTGAGTGCGTGCGTGCTGGCAGTGCAAGCATGGAGGCTGCAGTGGGAGAGGGTGTGGAATCACCTGTGCAAGATTCCAGCTTGCTTGTCCGTGTTTTCAACTCAATTTCTCAGATTGATTTTTGTGAGGAAAAAAATGATTTGGGGACTGCATTTTGCTAAAAGGGAAACCCTGCGGAGGACCCTTTTACCCTATCTGCCTAAATAATTTCTTTCTAACTCCTGTATCAACTAGGTGCTTGGTTTGGAAATGTCCAGACCAATGTAATCTAGGCATTGAGCTTCAGTTTCCTCATCTATTAGAAAGGGAATATATTAGTTATTCTCTTATAGGGTACTTATGATTTATTTTATGTGAAATGCTTAGAATGGACCATGCAGTGATGCACTGCAGTCGGTTTGTACTGGCTCACAATGATTGAGAGTGACCTTTTTCTAACGCTGCCAATATCCTCATCCCCACATCCAGTGATGTCATGTTAACTGGCCATGGGAGAATACACCACAGAAATTGGCAAATGCTATACATCAGGGGCTAGCCGATGTATATCAGCTAAATACTAAGCATCAGGGGGATGGATGCTTGTGATGGAAGCGTTTTGTATCTTGACTATGGTGGTAATCACATGAATCTACATACAGGGCTGGGCGTGGTGGCTCGTGCCTATAATCCAAGCACTTTGTGAGGCTGATGAGGGAGGATCACGAGCCCTGGAGTTTGACACCAGCCTGGCAACATAGTGAGACCCCATCTCTATTTAAAACAACTACAAAAAAAGAATCTACACACATGATAACATTGCACAGGACCAAATACACACTTTGTGTCAGGGTACCTATAACCTTTCAGGGACAATCTTGTTGGCCTGTTCCCACAAAGTCCTCTAAAGATGATCAATATATGCTTCAGATCAACTTTTCACACTATGCAGAGAAGCCACTTCTTCATTAAAAAAAAAAAAAAAAAAAAAAAACTCTTGATAAACCACAATCTCTAGCTTAAATGGGCTTGGAAATCACAGAAGGAAATAAAAAGCTAACATACAGCTACTGGTATTTTTGTCTCTCTGTATTTTTGTAAGTTAAGATAAAAGATAAATCAAATCTTCCTAGCTTAAATTCGGTCAGATCAGAAGGAATAAAGCAGATTATGTAACAAACACTTGCTCCTGACACCTGCAGTTTCTAAAAATATTAGGAATATATTTATTAAATTCAGAGGAAGTAAAACTACAAACAAATACATGACTTTTTGCAAAAGGCCATTTTGTGATAAAGTACATACATATAGTGTTCATGGTTTATTTGAAGTGCTAGATTGTCTCTGGCTGAATCCTCTATTGCTTTAAAAGGTCTTTCAACGCAACTCCAGCACTGTTATCAGGTAACACTGGCAAAGGTGCAAATGTGGGCCAAACATCTGAGATGGGTTTCAAAAGGTGATGTCGGGGCTCACCAGGTCCAAGTCCCCAAGTCCAGCTGGGTTAATAAGAGGCACAGCTGCTGAGCCAGGAGCTAAAAATGGATTGACATCTGTTCTTTTACCAGACCTGGATTCTGCTGTATCTTTAAAGCTTTCTGGTGCATTTGTATCTAGTGTTCTCCTTCCCAGTGAATCTAGAGGTTTCATATCATGAACAGAAGGCTCTGGTGGTAGAACAGATGAAGGAGATTGTTTCTAGAAATTTGACAAAAAGTTCTGAAAAAGAACTATGAAGCACAGATTGCTAATTTGATTTCAAAGGTGTGTTGGGAACACTTTCTGATACTCCTCCAAGCCACCCAGTCAACCACCTGGTAACACCGCCCTGATTGTCATGAAACAACTGCTCCATCTCCTCCCTTCTCACACCCAGGATGCTCCCCATCAACCGTAACACTTCATGACGCTGATTTTTCGGTGCCTGGAAATGACCAATGAAGAGGTTTCTCATTAGGACTTTGTCCACTTTTCCTTCTGAGGTGTTTGCTAAGTTTTATCAGTTTCTTTTGTACATCATCCAGCATTTCTGGTCGGACCTCATTTTGTTTTTTAAGTTCTTCAATTTGTTCTGTAAGTCTTGATGCTGAATCCAATGCAGCATTTGCTTTATCCAAATGTTCCTGTAATGATAACACTTTTCTTTCCAGATGTTCCTCCTTTTTCTTCCACTTCAGCTCTAAGATGTTTTTGCTTTTCTAGCTCAGCAGAATACATAGCTTTTTCCTCTTGTTGGAAATGCTGTAGTACCATCTGCAGGTTGGCCAGTGACAGAGCATACTGCTTTACTTCTTCCTGAGAGGCAGAAAACTGCAGCACACTTTCATCCCTTTGCTTGGAGACTACATTCAGTTGTTCTTGACAATGATTCTACCTGGCTTGATGGCTTGCATTTTCCATTGCATCAGAGGATGAAACTAGCTTTTCCTCCAATACTGTGACTTACTTTCTTAGTTTAGCCTCTCTGTCTTCTACAGCCAAAGCCTCATGGGTATAAGAATCTTCTGATTCTAGAAGATGATTATGCAATCTCTCTAGCTCCTGGTTTGACTGAAATTTGTTGTCACATAAACGCTGAACCTCATTCTGTAGGGCAGTGTTTTCCATTTGCTTTTGTTTCAGGGACAACATGACTTGGTCTCTCTCCTGTTGAAACACAACTATCTTCTCCTGCATTGATTTAACTGCATTTACAAGCTGATTTAACTCTCCAATCTTGCCCTGTTCTTTTTCTTTCAATAGCTCTTCAAAAGCAAGAGCCTTCTCCTTCATTGAATGGCACTCAAACTCTTTTTCTTGCAGCATCATAGAAAATTTCATGTTAGTCTCTTGCAAGGCTTGATATTCTGTTTCCTTTTCTCTGGACGTTTCTACTATTTTTTCATTTTCTCCTTTTAGTTTGCCAATGTCCGTCTCTAGAATTAATATTCTTTCCTTCAGGTTTGTTACTTCCTGTCTCAAAAGTTTGTTTTCATTTACTTTGTTAGTGAAATTTTCATTGGAAGAAAGTAATTGATCACTTTTGGCTTTGATTAAGATGTCTTTTCCTTTAAGTAACTTTTGCAAAACATCTTGTTTCTCCTTTAGCTGCTTAATTTGTGAATCGGTTTTTTGGTGTTCTTTTCTTTCTAGCTCTGAGGTGGCAGCAATTGAATCAGACAATCTCTGATTATTTGCCTGGAGTGTTCTAATTGTTGCATCTTTTTCCTGTAGTGATTTTCTGAGCTCTTCTAGCTCTTGCTGTAGCAATTCAGAAGATTCATTCAATACAGCAGACTTACTTGCTCTAAGAGACTCTGCTGACTGGGAAGTCAGCAATGATGCTGAAGACAGCTGGCGTGAAATAATACCAAGTTTTCCTAAAAGAAGATCCTTGGTATTGCAAAGCTTCCCAATGCTGTGCTGAACTTGTGCTAATTCCTGCCTCAAATTTTTGAGTTTGGTTTCGTTCTGCTCATAACTTTGGATCAGGCCAGTATAGTCCACTTGTAATTTAGAATTATTATCACTGTCAACCAAAACTTGTGCCTGAAGTTGGTGAAGTTCTTCCTGAAGCTGGGCGGACTCATGTTGCATATTTTGTACTGTGGTCATCACCTGCTGTTTCCACTCTTCCATTTTCTTTACTTGCTGTTTTAACTTGTCACGTTCCTGTAAGAGCTCCTCAAATTGATTACTATTAACACCTCCAACCTCATTACCAGTGCTGGATGTTTGTAAAACTGCCAATAAGGTCTGACATTTTTGACTTAGTGCCTCTATTTCGATGTCTTTCTCTCGAATGAGACGTGATAAATTCTGAAGAGTTTCTCTAAACATATCTTGGCCACTACTTTCAAATCTAGTGGACAATTTTTTATTTTCATCTTGCAGTTTGATGAGAGCTGTTTCTTTGGCAGCAATGATATCCATCATTTTGTGATATTCTCTTTTTAGATGGCTATTTTCCCTAGCCTTCTCATTCAAAACAGTGAATAGCTGTTCTCTTTCCATAGCATAGGCCTGCAGTTGCTGTTGAAGGTAAACAACGTCTTGAGTATAGGAAGTTAAAGGCATTCTAGCCTGAAGAGCTTGTATCTCCAAATCTTTCTGCTGAATGATCTGAGTTAGTTTACCAACTTCATGTTTGGACAACTGATCAATCTGTTTAGTTAAAGCTATATTCTTTTCATTTATAAGTTTAATCTCCAGTTCTCGCTCTTTGATTCCTTTCACTAATCTTTCCATTTCAGCTTTGGATAAATCATGCTCACTTCCTTTTTTTATATTAAGGCTCTGAACTTTGGTTTCTTGAAAAACATCAGAGCTATCTGTTTGAATCTTCTGCTTTTCTTCATAAAACTGGGTTTTGATTGGTTCAATTGTTTTTTGCAAACACTTAACTTCCTCACTGTTCTCTAAACAGAGCTGGCTGTGCGTGGCGTTCCATTGTTCATGCTGGTGTCTCAACTCATCCATGTCCTTCTGCTTTTGTAAAGACTGAAGTAGTTGCATCTTACTCTGGTTTTGATCTTCAGTTATCTTTGAATAGTGTTCAGTTTCCTCTTCAAGATGATCCTTGATCATGTTCAGTTGAGATACCTCAGATTCTAGTTCAGTAACACTATCAAGGGTTTTTGGATCAGCCACACGTGCAGTTTGACTCTGCTGTTCCCCGAGCCGTTCCAGTTTTTCTTGCAGATGATTATTTTCTTCTTTCATGGATCCAGGACTTCTGTCCCTTTCCCTTATGGTCTGTCTTAAAATTCCATGTTTTCTTAAGGCCTGAGAATATTTATCCAATTCCTCCTGCAACTTTGAACTTTTTTCTTGAAGATTTTCAGTAAAAATTTCTTTCTCATTTAAAAGTTGTGTCATTTGCTTCTGCTCTTCTAGACTAGACGATAAAATGTCCTTAATTTCTTTATGATCAGTATCCATTTGTCCAATATTCTTTTTGAGTTCTGCTATTTCAATGTCTTTCTTTTGATTGCGTTTAATTAAATGCTTATGTTCCAGCTGCAAGGCAGAGGTATTCAAGTTACATGCATTTGACAATTCTTCAATGGTTTTCTCATGCTTGTTTGCTTCTTCCAGTAGCTCCTTTTTAGCCTGACACAATTCTGCTTCTATCTCTCCTTTTTCCATTTTTAGAGACTCCACAATGGTGTTTTTTTCAAGAGAAAGCTGATTGCTATTAGCAATATATTCTTCCAGCTGACGCCTCACATCTTCACATGCTGAAACTAACCTTTCATTTTCCATTTTGACATTAAAAGCAACTTTCTTTAAATTTTCATTGAGCTGCTCTAATTCTGAAAGACTTCGCTTTAAGTTTCTAACTCTGGCTTCTTTTTCTTTAATTAAGTTGTCCTTGAAATTACTATTAGAGTCTTGGTTTAAAGAGTGAGTTAACTCATTCCTGACTCTAGAAAGCTCCTCGTCATTTTGTCTAATATGCTCTTTAAGTTCCACATTCTCCTTCCGGATGCTTACATTACTTTTTTGTGATTTATTTAGCTGATCTACTAAATCTTCTATTTTTTCCTCAAGTTTCTGCTTGGTTAAATGTAAATCATTTAGGGCCACTTCACTTTGAAGTAATGTTTCTTTTTGTACATATAACTCTTCAGTAATGTCCATTTTATCAACTTCAAGTTGATGGACTTTCTTTTTTTCATCATTTAGATCTTGTTTCAGTTTACTGATGATGTTATCTCCTTCATTTTGTTGTTTTGATAGCTGATCTTTTATCAAAAGCATGTGCATCTTAGCATCTTGATTCTGTCTGTCCAATTTTTCTATCTTAGCTATCAGGATTTTCTTTTCACTAATACTCCGATTGAGTTCTTGTTCCTTTGCTTCCAAATTAAGTCTTAAATTATATAATTCTGAATCCAAACTTATGTCTCTTGTAGCTGTACTTTTAAGTAGTTCATATTCATTGTTTGATTTTAAAAGTGATATCTGAAGTTCTTCTTTTTCTTGACTCAGTAATGACTTCTCTTTTTCTAGGTCTTCAATATGCATTTTAAGTTTCAGATTGTCTTCAACAAGACTGTTATCCTGGTTTAAACTATTCAATCTCATTATTTCATTTTTGGCATCAGACAGTGTTTGTTGTAGTCTGAACACTTCTTCCATTGATGCACTCTGTGCAATAATTCTTTCTTTTTCTGTCACAGTATCACTTTGCTTCATACCATAGGGCTGCAATTCACTACACTCCAAGTTTTCACATTCTTCTATTATTTGTCTCTTTTCCACATTTAGCTGTTTTTGTTGTTTCCTCAACATATCTCTATCTTTTTCTGCAGAAGATAATGTTTTATTCATATCTTTTATTTTATCCTCAAGTTCTTCAATTTTTTTGGTAGACTCCACTTTTTCTGCTTGTAGAAATTGAATAGTTTTTTGCATCTCATAGATTTTAGAGTGATCGGTTTCTGTAGCTCCAAGGCCACCTTGTTGTAACAGATTTGTGAGTTCTTCAATTTGTTCTTCATAGACAACTTCAGACTCAAGTCTTGAAACGTCAGTTGGGAGTTGGTTTATTTCTTGTCGGGACAAAATTATATCATTAAAGTCCATGTCATCATCATGGAAAGCTGAAGGTTGATGACTAATCCCATAAGCGAAAGAAGATGCAGTGGTTGCTGGTACACCGCCAGCTCCTGAAGGTACTGACTGAGCAGCCAACTGCAGTTTCAGCATCTGGTCCTGAAACACAGTATGTCTGGCTTTAAGATGGTGGATTTTTACCTCTTTTTGTTGAAGTTGATTTTGGTAACTTGTAGATTGCTGTTTTCGTTTGAAGCTCTGATGCTTCATGTTTCTCTTCATGTAAGAAATACAAAGTTTCTTATGCCTTTTATTCTCTAATTTCAAGATTTCATGAATGGCTTCAATTTCCTTTGTCATAAAATCATGTAATTCTGCTTCCACTTCCTCCGTACCCCCAGTCAGTATACACTTTGTAAAGTTTGAAATCTGGCCAGCGAGGGAACCCAGGCTGCCTCTGACTTGACCCAGAGACTGGCCCCATCTGGAGCCGAGGCCCCCAAACCAGGACGACATCGCGGTGAGTTTAGCAGCCGACCTGGTCCACTCGGAAAAAAAAGCATTTAGCGCCGTCGGACGATCCGACCAAATATCCTTGAACGCCTCCCTTCACAAGGCTGGTTCAAATGCGCAGGATTCCATAACAAAACGGGGTTCCCAGGCAACGTGGGTTCCAGGTTCTGCTGAGGAACACAGAGGCCTGGCCTGGGACTTTACCAGGGGCCCTCCTCTAGTGATGCCGTCACCCCTGCGGGGCCTTCTGCTCATTCCCACCATCCAGATTGGGCCAGTTCTGTCTCTGTTTTAGTGACTCGCCCCAGTTCCGTGGGCAATTCCTGCCAACTCACCAGCCGCCATGACACTCGCCAACAATTTTTTTTTTTTTTTTAAGTTCTGGAATCCATGTGCAAAATGTATTTCACTTCTTGAGGCTGGCTTTTTTTCACTCGGCATAACTTCCTTGAGATCCATCCAAATTTTTGGATGTATCATTGTTTTTTCCTTTTTATTGTTGAGCATATACTCCAGATATATCACTTAGTTTTAAAAGCTAAGTATCTATTTAAATATATCATCTTAAAACTAAACGTTTCCTTACATAAATTCATACAACTTTCATGTAAGTGTTAAACCGTAAGCTGTATCTACATAAGTATACTTAGCAACATCACTGAACATGCCACTTCCTGATATATGAGGTACAGCAATCCCAGAATTAACTATTCTCATGATGGTGGCCACTGAGGGCAATGAAACCACTTTGAAAGCACAAGCACCCAGATGTCTGAAACTTAAGAGACTATTTCTTTAATTTTTTAATAAACCCATCATAAAAAAGTCCTTACTTGAAACTTAACTGTATCTGGATGTTCATATTTTTATTTGTTGAACTTGTACATTTAAAAAGACATTTTTTGAAAATTTTGTAAATTGTAATATGTTTTTAAAATAGAAACATTTATAGATAAACTGAAAGAAAGCTGATTAAACATTCAGCAAATGCCTAGGGTACAATTGCTTTATAAATGTTACTATTGTTCTCAAAGTATCTCTTTAAGTATTGATCCCTTACTTGACGGAAAATTATTCTAGACATAAAACATGTTCTATTTAATTTTGTATTCATGGCACCTGGCCCAGGGCCTGGTACATAATACATGGTTAGTAAGTGTTCATCTAACCAAATTGAGTAATACTTCCAAAGACTTGGCTTGGTTCCTCTTGGTACCTTTAGAGAGTAGCAAATTTACAATATTCCAAGATGCAGAAGCAGTTGCTAATATAAGTGGAGAGCGTTCTTCAGAATCAATGCTATTAATGTCTGCTCCCTAAAAATCAAACAAGCCATTCAACAAGGAGCTTACAAACTGCAAACAGATAAATCAGCATACACTGCAATCTCTAAATAAGGTTAATTCATTGATACAGAGTGTCTATATTATGGGGAGCACTAAAATATACAACTTATTACAGAACAATTTGAAATATCTCCATAATTCATATGTTATATCATCAGAAATCAAAGCATTCTTTAATAATTTCAACAAAAAATGATTCTCACTTGTTAGGCTTCATATTGACACCTGGCAATAGCTCTAGTTACTACTTAAACCATAAAAATAATATCCTTTTACCTAGATCAATAGTTTAGTTTCCACTGTAAGAAATAATTTTTAAATGTGTATAATTGTAAAAGTCTTCCAAATTTATTACATATATGATTAAGAAAAATTAACAAAAACATTCCCTTTGTAAAAAATTCTATTTTAACTGAAATAGATGAACTGAAGTAACTGAATTGACATCACTCAAATTCTAAAGTACAATTTTAGCCAAACATTTATTTGATAAAATTTATATTTAAAAATCACATTAAACATATATTGTTAAAATGAATAAGTCAATGTTAACCATTATGTATTATAATATTTGATATGACAAGAAATCAAAGGCCTTTTAAAATCTCATGGAAAAAATTCTATACTTTACACAGAGTAATAAAAAATATTAATAGCTTAAACTCCAAGTGTGGATATTTCTGTGTTCATTTGGGACCCACTGAATATAAATGACAATGGGGGCAGCATCCCCTTGGCAAGCTCCATGGTGGTCAGTGAAACTACAGTTCTCTTGCCCAGTGAAGAGATGGCAGCCTTTGCATGAAAACATGAATGACCAAGGTTTAAGGTTTATGGTATATAATGCATAGTTTATGATATATAAGTCTCCCCAGTACTCTTCTAGGTAAGTGTCACAATTTCAATAGTTGTTGTTGACAATACAAAATGTTCAATACTACCAATGGAAATCCGTCATTGCTGATACGGTGTGCTTAAATAAATTCGCCACACATTTATCTGCATAATGGGCTTATAAAAGCTTAACTCAAAAGCTGACTGATTCCACTTCTTAGAGTGTAAATGATCTCATGTTTCATGTTTTCACTTGTAATAAACCTTTGACAATAATTTTTAGTTTCTCAGTTTTTCATTGTTTGAAAGGGGGCACTGAAGCAGCTGGGATAGGAGCTTCCCCAGTGCTGCCTGTCCTGCCTCCACCTTAAAGCCACCCGGGAGGAAGAAGCATCACTGCCCAAGCTCACACTCCTCTAGGACCCTCTAACAGAACATGGGAACAGCTTTCCTTACAATGTACCTGCAAACTTCCTGCATTAAAAACACCGATACGGATATCCAAAAGTGCTCTTTGGCACTTCGAACTTCACAGTAATGTTTGGCCATTACCTATTCATACGCAATATACTCTGCTTCCAAGTGTGTCAATCATTCTTTGTACACTTTTTTTTTTGCTGATAAGAAATTAAAATTTGATTTTTGAAAATTATGTAATTATATAATTTTTCAACTATAAATAATAATAAAAATAAACCAGTAAATGGAATAGTTACCACTGAAATTAGTCTGCTAGTTCATGGTGATCAAATGTAGCTCTGAAAAAACAGAATTATAAATGTTATAATTATAGTACTATTGATGTAAATATAAATGTATTTAATAAAGCTACTATATTTAGAAAGTGAATTTAACTAATCATAGAATAACATGATAGAATGTTGGAGAATTAGTAAGCTTTCAAAATTTGTAATTTGATTCTTATTACAGTAGCAGTTTCAAAGTAATAGTAAGAGGAAAACACCAAATACATCACAATATTTTCTTCCTCATCTTTTAGTAAACCCATTTTCTCCTATAAAATCACCATGACCATGTTTTGAAGTATGTAGTAACATCTGTACCAAGGCAGAAAAGACAAGGAAATCGCTGGTATTGCTATGATTATGGGGAATAGCAACAGCTACATACAAGGTATGTCTCAAATCACCTTTGGGGTTCAAAAAGCCCCTCTTTGGGAGACTTCTCTTTGGCAAAAGTTAAAAGGCAGTGTTAACTTCTGAGTTTTTATGAAGCCAAAAATGATTATGGAGAGAATTGAAAATGTTTTAGCATCATCTCACAGTCAGTCATACGGATAATGTTAATTAACACAGCAAGTAAAAGTTTTCAATCTACATTAAAGCACCACCTTAACACATGTCAATACTAATGATTTAAACCTTTATGTTTCCTATGGCAAATATCATTTCTTTGTTTCAAGATTGTCTCAACTATTCTTGGCCTTCTATACACAAATTTCAGAATCGGTTTGCTAATTTTCACCTCACATATGACAAGAGGTTGCATTATATATAAAATATGTTAATTATATTTAGTAATTTTAGGGAATAAAATATAACATTAAGGACCCATCTACCTAAGATAATTTCCTCTCATGTATATAAATATATTAAGGTTGTGTTCTAAAGACACACTTTAAAAATAACCAAATCATTGGGTTTCTAAATTGGCTACACATTGGAATCAAAGAGGTTATTTCTTTTTCATTCCTGTCACTCATCACGAAGATTTTATATATTCAAGGGTATTAATTGGCACTTGGATTTTATGAGCTACTCACATGATTCTAATGTGCAACAGTTTGAGAATCTCTGGTCTAGAGATTATATTGAGTTTTCATTTCATTTCACTGGCTCTTTTTTAACTTTTTTATTTTACTAGATCATTTTCATATCACCAATCCTGGATTCATATATTACAATCTGTTTTTACAATTCTATGTTGTCTTACTTTTACATAACTGATTAACCTCCTTTAAATTTTTTAAGGTCTCAAATATCTTTATTTGAAAATTCTTTTCAGATTGCCCTATTATGTCTATTTTCTTGGAAATAAATTGGTTTTTGTTGACTTTGTTTGTTTCATAAGTTTTCTTTTATGCTATACAATTTTAGTTTGTAGATTCATCCTAAGTGGGAGTTTCTTTCTTTTCACACATATCCTATCATGGTTGGTGGTTTTGCAAATGTGTACATTCATTAGAAATAGAACTTATATTGGTAGCTAGAGTTTCTTTTTTTCTAACAGATATTTAGATAGATAGATTTCCAGGTCTGGTTACCTATTGAAAATATATTGGCAGCTCTGAGACACTGAGACACACATACACATACACACACACACACACACACAGAGAGAGAGAGAGAGAGAGAGAGCCTCTGTGTGTGTGTGTGTGTGTGTGTGTGTGTGTGTGTGTGTGTGTGTATGTGTCCGAGACAGTGAAGGGTCAACTCAGACAACTCTTTCACCCACATGGGCAGCATCTGATACTTGTCTTTACAAAGTCTACAATGCTTGTAGACTGTCTACAACGCTTGTTTAATTAATTTCCAGTTTACAATGTTTGTTTAATTAATTTCCAGTCCTGTCCTAGTACCTATTAAGCCTACAGTTTAATACACTTTCCCTGATGTGTATTTCTGTCAAACTTCACAGAAATTTTTTATCACTTTTGGCAACTTGGTTATAATTTCCTAAAACTATGTTTGAAACCATTTATCTATAACTGTGGGGTTAGCAGAAGGGATTAGAGTGGGAAATGTGAAATATCCATATGTATCTGCTCCATTATTGTCACTGAAAATGGGGATAAAATAAATATGAGAAATTGGAACAGACTACAAAGGGCTTGGAAGACCTTGTATGTAGACTTTTTTAGCATACAGAAAATCAATCTTAATCCTATATCTGCTGGACTCCATTCAGAATATGCCACAGGAGATTTTATTCTGTGAAATTTATTTAATGTTGTACTTCCATTCCCTGGGAACACAAGCAATTCCAGTAAATACACAGGGTCTTTGCTACTTTTCTCTTTTGAACAACATAATC